TTTTTGAATTTCTTCTTGTGTGTTCACATTTTCCTATATTTGAAATAAAGGAATGTTTTAAAACATGAATGCTTGATGCAGGTTCTTTACAAAATGTCTCCCAATGATACATAGCTGTATGCTACTTTATTTAAACAAGAAATCACTGAATTACTTTTCTATTCAGTGAATCCTCTTGTTTTATAGAGGAGGTTGCACTGTTTCTCAGAGCCATGTACTCATCTGGAATGTGTTGACACAATGCAGTTGGTGTTAATTGAGCAATGCTAACTGCTTGTTGATTGAGACCCTTAGCTGAAAATCTGTCCCAAAATTCAGTGACAGTAGTCGACTGTAGATAGATAAGAATGCGAGAATATTGAGCTGAACAGTCATCACAGAAGATAAAGAATGAAATTGAGTGCTAATTCCTGAGTCTGTATGAAAATCATGCTGGAAGTAAAGGGCTGGAGGGTTTTAAATGTCTGTAGCAAATCCCATATGCTTATAGCTCTCTTGTTAGTTCTGCTACCAGTCTTTTAGGTTAGCTGCTGCTGTAGAGAGTTATGCCATCATGTTTATCCTCATGTATCCCTTACGCTTAAACAGGATTTTCACTTTTGAGTGTCAGATTAGAGCTCATTCAGCTAGAGCAAGAGTAGACAGTCTCAGGACAGTCTTGTCTCTCAAGATTTCCAGGGCAATCAGTTGAGATTTATTTTAGTTTTCAAAAACTGTATTAGTTTTTTCAAATTATATTGTATAGAGTATTTAAATACACTATGATTGCTTTTCTAAAGTGTGCATTATTTAAGTGTTGTTCTGTCACATTTGGGGGAAGTATCTATCTTACTTTTTGTAATTGCATGTCCTTGATGTTCAAGTATATTATCTCATGCTGTTTTTCTAATGTAGTTGTTGCTGTTGTAAAAGCAAAACAAAACACTAGTATACAACATGTGATTTTTCTATAAGAAGATGCTCAATTTTGCATATATTTTTGAGTTCCTTACTTTGAAATCTGACAAGTGAAGCACAGAACAATAATACGTTGGGGCTGTACACAGTTTCCTTTGTATAGGCCCTTTGCCAGCAGTTGTGGCTGGGCAGAGTGTGAGGGGCAGAAGTTCTTGTCATCAGTATCCTGTGCTCTTTTACCTGTGTTAAATAGCTCTGCAGCTGCAATAGCCTGGCACTACTGCAGGTGCAGGGAACATTCGCCACTGGAGGATGTAATTGTTTCCTGGAAAAGAAACTAGGATCATTGCTGTTAATGCTCCTTCGTTGTGAAGGGGCTATGTCACTGTAAGAGCATATTGGTGACTGCAGACTCAGAATAAGTGAAGTTTTAAAGAAATCTTAAGTTCTTTTGATGTCCACAGAGTTGCTTTCGTGGGTAGAATTAAGGTTGCTCTGGCTCCTTAATTATGCATGTCCCTAATATAGTTATTCAGATCTCTCTTTCTGTTTAACAGTTTTACTGTTGTTTGGGTGTTTATGGTATTTGTGGTTTAACTTTGGTGTATGAAACCATATTCAGTGTGGATTTTGATTCAGTCTAGTTTTTATAGGCAGGCAAGGTTTTTCTTCACAGCGTTTAAATAGTTTTGTACTTTCAGATACTCAATCCCTGTGTTAGGCTGAGATTTTAAAATTTACTATGTATTGAAAACATGGCTACATTTTGCTGAAGAACATATGTTGGTAAACTTAGTTTAACACAGTGAATGTGTCAAAGCTTTCCACTGTTTTAGAATCTTTTCCCAACTACTTTGAGTGATGTGGCTCTGGGGGAGGAAAGAAATGTTAATTTTTGCAGAAGATAGAGAGCTGAAGCTGTAACAAGTCTTGAATGCTGAGGTGCTTCCAAACTCCTGCTTCAGGTGTTTCAGTTAGAAGCTGCATTCTTCAAAGCTCCTGCATAGTTGTTTCTTAAACTGTAAAGATATTTTAGTTGTGCTGCTTAATGAGGATTTTCAGGTCCATAAAGATTTATTGTAAGGACATACATAAAAATGCTGCATTCCCGTGAGCTAGCAAGTTTGTAGGTGGATCATACTTAAACCTGTGAGCTCTGTGAAGAAGACATTGTGTTACTACTTGATATATTTCATCTGGAATAGTCTGAGGCAAAAGACGCCTTATAAATTATGCTCCACACAAAATGATAGAGAGATCAAGTAGAAATAGGTATGTACAATCCCTACTCATAGCTAGTAATTCAATCATGGAATTGGAACCTTAATGTGGTTTGAGGTACCTGGATTTTTTTTCTTTTTTTTGCATAAATCTGGCTGTCCTAAATACAGTGCGTGATTGTTCATGCATGAGTTTGTAGTTTTATATATGTCTGATGGGGAGACACATCAGCACTTGACCTGTGGCAGTATTTTGAATGGAAGGATGGACTGCTGCTTAAAAATCCTCTGAAAAGAGTTTTCTTTTTAAGCATATAATTTCCTTGAAAGGTCTAGAACATGCCTGCCTAAGGGTGAAGACTCATCCTTTGGCAGACCAGAAAAGAGCAAGTACATCCTAAAGAGCAGTGTTTAACACTGATCTCCAAGTTTGCAGGGAAAAATCAAGGTGGTATTAAAATTAACTAAATTTGCAGCATGTAACTTGTTTAAATTGAATCTTTCTCAGTTTAGTTTATAATGAGAATCAAGTTATTAGCTGTAACAGAATGGCATGGAATTTATTATTTTCACAGTGTGAGATGGGGTGGAGTTAGCAAAACATCATCACGTTTAGCTAATTAAACTGGCCATCAGCGCTAGATCTTTGCGTAACAGTAGAAAAACTGTAATCCCAGGCATTCCAACTGGTTGTTAATAGCATGGCAAGCTGGTCAAAATAAGTGCATTTTTTTGTGCAGAACAGGAAGCATACAGCTAGCTAATAGTACTGTGCATGGTACAAAGTGTCTTACATTAGTAACATGAAAAAATTTATTTAAATATTCTTAAAGTGGAATGAGAAACAGGGGAAATCTTTGCATGTGCTGTAGCTGAATTCATATGCATGCAATGAATTACCCAGGTAATTAAAGTTGCTTGGTACAATGAATAGCTTTAAAAGAGATACAAGGAAATTGCTTGGACTTAAATACCGTAAGTATGTAATTGCAGCAAATGGTATAAATTTGTCTTGGTGTCTGTTGTTTCTATATTGTGAGTTATGTCTTGTGCTGTAACTGAATTTTGTTGCTTCAGGGTGTTTGGAAGTGAGACAGCTCATCTTAATAGGCTTTTTGGTAAACAATTTTTAAAAAGAAAACATGAACATGCTTTCAGTGTCAGAAAGCTAAAACATATACCTCCTTTCTTTCACTTCTTTATGTACTCAGATTGCTGGGCATTTCAGTTTGATTCTTCATTTTCTAGTTTAAGCTTGTCTAATTGGAACTCATAAAGCTGTGTTATGCCTCTTTCAGCTAAAAGGAAATTTCTGTCGTCGTTACAGTTCTCCATGGAGATGGGCACCCAGTGATACTGTTGAATACATCACAGCTATGTAGTAGCTCACCCTGCTAGAAACCCAGTTTCTGGCTCAGTTCTCTGCGCTTTATGGGCATTCTGCACTTTCAAGAACTCATCATCTCCTGGTGTAAATTCTCACAGATTTTTTCCAATTTAATGAAGTTTACCTTGGACTAACTTCTGTGCAGCTTTTCATTAATGAATTGAACAGTGAAACACAGTGCGCTCACAAAGCTCGCAGATGATGTCAAACTGGAAAGTGCTGCACCTCTTGGTGGACAGTTTCATAATTTGAACTGATCTCATTAAATTGCAGTATAGTCCCAAATTAACAAACTGAAATTAATCTGAAGTCTCCTTTTAGGAAGGAGAAATGAAGTGCCCAAATGCAGAACAATTATTAACAGTATTGCATAAAAAGGTTGTGTACAGTCACTTAGAAATTCACTGTGAAACTTTGTTCTATGGATGAAAGGAAAAAAACCCGGGGATATAGATTCATGCTCCACTTTAATTGCAGCAAAGTGGGAACTGTCTGTCCACTTGTCTCAGATTTGGAAAGAATGTGCTTGCAGATTAATTCATATCAGTGAGTTATGCAAAAGGGAATTTTTCATGGATCATTTTTTCTCTGTATCATCTGGTACATTCAGTGACCCTTTTAGCCCCATGATACCATAACCAATATATTGAAGCTGCATGTTATCTGATTGATTACTCATAATGAGAACGATTGTGAAAAAATTTTTCTCCGTGTATCAGTTTGTGATGGGACAGAAAATGAGCTGATTTTACACAGATAATTTAAGGAAAAGTTTAGCAAGGATTTTGAAGCATGTGGATAATAAAACATACATGTGGGTTACAGATCTCCTTAGGTAGAATCTCATTTTCTAAGAATGAGCATGACAGCCCCCTCCTGCATGTGGTTTGATCTTTAACTTCTCTGGTGCCCAGTTTTGCACTGCAGTGTTCTACAGATGGCGTGGGCTTTGGATCAGAAAAAGTAGTAGTAACCTTCACGTGATTTTGCTTCTTACTCCCTTACACATCCCACTGGGTGGTCCTCCTGCTACAGGTGGTCCTCCGATTGATGAATCAAAGGCTTACTGTGCATCTATAAAGCCCAGAGCTCAGTTTTGGAATACTCTGTCACTTTCAGTGTGATGTTGCTAGACATAATAGTTCTGCAGTCTCGTCATACAGCTCATTCTTCATAATCAGGTAAGGGATAAGTATAATCCTGCTTTTCTAACAGCGGAAGTCACCAAGACAGAGGAATTGAGTCTGCTTTTTGAAGATCCCAAGTCTATTTTGAACAAAATATGGGCAATTGTTGTCCCAAAGACCTCCTCCAATTGAGGTGTCTACCTTTTCCATATGTGCTCTTGGAAGCTGTGTCCAGGTGACTGTCAAACGGATTCTCAGGCTGCAGGTAGCATTAGTGTGCTTAAGTGCGTGGCTTACCTTTTCAGGTAATTTTATAGCTATGTTTTGTTACCAAGATGTATTTCTGACTAGGAAAATATTTTATCATAGGTTTTGAAACTGCAAAGTCTCTCGCACTGCATGGGGCATATGTTATCCTGGCCTGCAGAAATATGTCAAGAGGCAATGATGCTGTACAACGCATTCTCATGGAATGGGTAAGTGAATGTATATAGTGTCCAACACTAAGCTGTGTTTTATAAGACATGAAGTCTTTTGTGCAGTGAAAGGGATATTACATTGCCATTTAAGAATCTAAGGAAGAAGGCATTTTTCTTATTTGTAGTAGCCTGTTCAGTCAGTGGTATATTAGTGATAGAGATTTTTCATTTTGTATGGCTGTATTGGACTGCAAGGCTTGACATGTTGTTATCAATGCTACATACAGATGCTGTTGAAAGAATCACTGAGGCATGGTTCATAGTTCATAGGACAGGACATTTCCAGAATCAACTTGTATAACTAACAGTTCATAGGACAGGACATTTCCAGAATCAACTTATATAACTAACTGAAGGAGAACGTACACAGTCAGATATCAAAGACAGCCACTATTTGCCCATAGTTTTCATACTATGGGAGATTATAGAGGATCCTTCTTACATTTTTCAAAACCAAGAATGTTTCCCTCCTTTCCTAGACTATCAGGCCCAACAGCACTGCTGCCATTCAGTCTGCCTCAACGTTTGTTTTTTTTTTCCCTTCCCATTTCTTCTTCCTGTCTTTCATTTTTCTTTCAATTTGTCATGCAAATACTAACTCTTCAGTACTGTCTATTCCATGGTTTCGTTAACTCCTAACTTCCCCTCCTTTTTTGAGGGGGGAAAATCTTCTAATGCCCTTATTAAAATTTATTCAGTGCTCTTAATTTATTCCTCCCACAATCATTTACTTTCTGGTAAGGATTGCAGGCTACTTTTGTCTGAGCTTGCTATGACTGCTGACTTCCAGGAGATAATCTGTTGACACAGTCCTATACACTTAACTTGGATAATAAACTGAAGGATCAGATTCTCAGAATTTTATTTCTTTCTTGCTAAAATTAGTGATGAGTACTTTAGCTTTATTTCCCAAGCTCTGAAAATACTTCAGCTCTTCCTGGATGATATGGGAGAGCACTCAGTAGTATTAAAATTTACACATAAGTAATCTACAGATGATGATAATATTTATTAGTACAAAACAAACAGCACTTATAATACAAGTAAGTATTGCCAAAGAAGCGATGCTTATAATATTGCTAGTTTTTGTAACCGTGAGTTTCTTCAAGAAAGTCTTTGGATTTAGGCCTCCTTCTCTTGCTTAAGGTGCTATTAATGATTTACAGTAAAGGAGTGGGAGGGAAAAATATCTTCCTTTTCCCTTCAATACTTCACATAAAAGCTATATTTTTGGTTGTTGGTTTGGTTTGGTTTGATTTTTTTTTTTCCAATAGTGTGGAATTCCAAGAGAATTCCAACAGGGGCAAGCATAGCATGTGTTGCTTAAAGTTCATCTCTCCTGTGTGATATCTGGTGATATTCTGTCTTTCAAATTTAGTAGTCACAGTCCAGCTAAATATGGCTGTATAGAATGTTTTTAATGTAACTAAAATAAGGCTGGTACTGAGTACCTTTTATTTGGAAAAAAATCCATTATCCCTTAATTCTAAGCGTATGTCTGAGCACTTAGAAGGCAATAGGAGTTCAGGAGTACTTGTCTTAATACCTATATTATCTCACCAAGAGTTAATGAATTGTTAATTGAATGAAGATCACTGAAGGTCAAATTACTTCAGAAACACTACATTTATTTACTAACAGTTTTCAAACTCTAATTGTTCAGAAAAGAATCTCATCTGTAAACTGGGTAGCTGGAAAACCTTCAATGCATCTTTGTAATGGCTTTGTTGTTGTTTATTGAGAGGGACTAATTAACTTTGATTATTGCACTAATATTATGGCACTTTGACAGTCCCTCAGATTTATGACTCTGGGAAAATAAACAAATGAAATGCAGGTGCTGGAGCAGAAAGAATAAGTTATTACTGAACTTTAATTACTTGGAGTGTGTAACCAGGAGAGAATTAGTTGATGAATTACAAGATGCTTAAAATTTACATCAAATTGTAAGCAGTCTTGAGGAAAACAAATACAAAAACCTTCCCCAAAGTCAGTTTTTGAAAACAGAGAGACAAAGATTAATTTGATTGATTGATACTAATATTAAAATATTGATGTAAAATATTAATTTTTAGCTTATAGGTGTAACTGCAGAGCAGGAAGTTGTTAATTGAAAATTCTTTCCTAAAATCAAAGAGTTTAAGAAAAACGTCAACAACCTCTACACGTGCTTCAGCTGAATTCTCAGCATGTAGCTGCAACTATCCTACTACAAAGAGCTTTAAAGCATCCTCAGTATTTTGTCTCCTTTTTTCCTAGGGAAAGCAAAACTATTGTAAGGAAATGGGTTTACCTTCCAATTTTGAAACAATTTTTTAAAAAATACAGCTGTGTAGGATGTAGTCTTACAAAGCCTCATGTTTATGCTATTCAGGTAGGTTTTTTTGGCAACAATAGTGCTCCTACTTGTTATATGTTTTCTTGTTACTTTTTGAGATTAACTCTATAAACTGCACTATAAATACTGTCTTCTTCCAGGATTTTGAGGGGTAGAAATTTGGTAAACACATTCCTACCCTTTAACTGATTATCCAAACCCTGTTTGCTTCTAATTTGTGTGAACTGTACCTTTATGACAAAAAAAAAAAATAAATATCTTTGCCGTATAGTATTCTAGTGTGTTTACATGTCATAAATGTACGGTGCTGGAAATAGAATTGGTAGTCCTATAATAGCATGTATATTACGAAAACCAATATGTATCCTGTACTGGCTTTTCCGCAGGAGAAAATACGCCCCCTTGGGTACTTAAACCTTAGTACTCAAGGTTTAAATGTTGGATAAAGAATATTTCCTTTTTCTTTCTTTTTGTTGTCAGGTGCAAAATTGGTTTCTGCTTATTTTGTAAGAAGACTAATTAAAAATATATAAAGAAACAACTGTTGTTATTTCAGGATTCAATACAATTGTCTAATTGACGGTCTGTGTTAAGTAAAGCCTGAAATATATACAGAAAAAATATTAATTCTTATAAAAACAAACCCCAACCACCACTGCCAAATCACAACAAAACAGAAAAGTTCCCCAAATGAATCCTACTGTAATGCGGCATTTGAAAATGAAGTATGACATCTTTAAGAGTACTTGGGAAAACCATCTGGCTTCTTTCCTTAGTGAGTCTATTTCATACAATCATAGAATGGTTTGGATTGGAAAGGACCTTAAGAATATGTAGTTCCACACCCCTGCCATGGGCATGGACACTTTCCACTAGAGCACATTGCTCCAAGCCCTGTCCAACCTGACCTTGAGCACTGCCAGGGATGGGGCAGCCACAGCTTCTCTGGGCAACCCATTCCAGTGCCTCACCACCTGCACCGTAAAGAGCTTCTTCCTTATATCTAACTTGAACATCCCCTGTTGAAGTTTAAACCCATTACCCCTTGTACTATTGCTACAGTCCCTGATGAAGAGTCCCTCTCCAGCATCCTTGTAAGGCCTCCCTTTAGACACTGGAAGCTGCTCTGAGGTCTCCACGCAGCTTCTCTTCTCCAGGCTGAACAGCCCCAACTTTCTCAGCCTGTCTTCATATGGGAGGTGTTCCAGCCCCTGATCATCTTTGAGGCCTTCCTCTGGGGCTACCATTTTATAAGGACAGAATGGAACAGCTAAATGGAAAAACCCAATTGTCAAGATATAGAGAAAAGAGGGAGAATAACGGGAGAAAATAAGGTAGGTGGTGTTTTTTGTAGTTTGGTTTTTTTGTTTGGTTGCTTTTTTGGTTTTTTTTTTTTTTTCCAGATTGGCTGCCATTATGTTTAAAAACAAAATTCAAACTGATCTTGATTCGCTTTTGGATACAAATCTGGAAAACTTTGCTTTTATTAAGTTTTGTCTGAAGAGCTGTTTTATAGAGAGTTTGAGCCATTTGAGTAGGGATTGTCTGTACAAACTTGCTAATTACTTTAGATAACTGACATTTGTTTGCAACCTGCAGTATTCCAGTTATTTTCTTTCTAAACTACAGCAAAATTTTGCTAATATTGCAGATAAAGGGAAATTGCATAATGTGAAACGTTGTGACAAGTTTTAATGTGACTGGTGTAGCTATTCTGTCAAATATAATTTTTATAGAGAGGTATAGTGGATTATATTGGTACAATCCAATGTTTTATATAGATACACAAAGAGAAAAAGGAAGAGAAAGTATTTAGAAGCAGCGGATAAAAAGAGAGATCAGTATAGTTTTACATTCAGTATCTTGAAAATGACTGTTGTACATGCAAGATGACATTCAGTATCAATTTAAAACTGATAATTTCTTGCTTGGAAAAGAGGAAATTAGAATTCTAGAGTTATGATTCATTTTAATCAGAAAGAAATTGTCAAACATAAATCTCTCCTTGAGTAGTGAAAAGGACTGAAAGCAGCCAAGAATAAATATCAATACTTTCCAAAGGAGGAATGATTGTTCCAAGTCGTAGCTTAATTGACTTTAAGGCTTAATGAAAAACACTACAGTGCTGTTTGTACACATAGTTGCTCTGACAAACACTGAAATCTATGCTCCAGGAAGAGAAGCTAGGTAATTTATTTTACATTATTATTGATATAATTTCCTAATTGAGTATGAGCAGAATGTTTGGATAAGACCGTGTAGCTCCAGATGTTAGCGGTATTCTCAAGAAAATACTTAAGAATATGAATGAATAAAATATTTCATAAATCACAGCTTCTCTTGCCAAGAAGCTCTCATTTATTTATTTCTGTCAAATAGTCTTTGAAGTAGATATTAAAAGATAAATTGTAAGTTTAATATTTCATAAAAAGTATAATGTTTCTTTTGTAATTATTCCTCAGTGTTAAGCCTACAGCTACATCAAAGATTAGATTAAACTGTAAAAAGAAAATTTGGGTTTGCTTTATATGTAGAAACTTACAAGGTAGAGATGTAACAAGAGAAGAGAGAATGGCTATGAAGAAAACCAACAAAATAAACATGACTCCTTGCTGTATTCCTTTCCCCTAAAGTATTCCCCACCTAAGGAGTGATTTAT